AGTTCTTAAATGAAAAGGTAAGTAAAAAATAAAATTGTGCAAAGCTATGCTTGCTATATGCTATCTCAAACAACATTATAAATTCTGTTTGATTTTTCTCTGTATTCTAAAATTTATTTTGTGGGCACTGTCTAACATTATGTGATATAATTGTGATTCTAGTTCTTCTGTGAACATATAATTTCTTTAAAGTCAATATGAGTAACTTATCCAGTGATTAAGATAATTTATCAACCATTGGTTTCAACTACTTTAGACAAACTTGAATTGAAAAAGCAGGCATTTTGATATTTTGAAATTCGGTGATGAAAGGGTGAGCTTTTAAATTAAAGATTCATTCTTGTTATGCATCTCTTTTATAACTTTGTATAGAAATGCCAAATTGTGATGACCAAAGAATGACATATAAGACTCTCATTGGTTGGAAAAGTGCCTTCCTTATTAGAGTTGTCATTACTTAATTGTGAAATAGTGAATTCTTTTTTTGATGGTACTGGGACTTGAACTCAGGGCCTCGTGCTTGCTAGGCAGGTACTCTACCACATGAGCCATTCCAGCAGTCCTGAAATAGTGAATACTTAAGGAAAGTAATTAAGTTTTTCAAACTCCTGCATATGAACAAAGAGTAGTAAACACATGGATATCAAGTGGCTAATCTGATGCTGCTAAAAATATAGCTAAAATGATTGGCTTGGTTACTTTGTTATTTTGGTTATAAAATTGGTTACTGATAAATTGGTATTTAGGTAGTTCTAAAACTAGTAACTGATATAATAAACAACTTTCCTATACAAAAGTGCTAATATTTGCTATGGAAAATACAGACCAGTGTAAGATACATTGCCAACTTTGAAGACTGAAAACTTACTTCGGGATACAGAACATATCCTTGAAAGTTAAATAACATTATATTGATGTGTAAGAGATAGTGTGATACAACTTATAATACAGATAAATGAAAAATAGAAACTCCTGATATTACAGGTCAAACTCTCATAAGTTTTCCTATACTTAAGTGGTTGCCTGAAAAATTATATCAGAAAACATGCAAGTGAATGAGGCTGACTTTATATCAATAATCTTTATTCACTAAAATTTATTAAATAAAACATTTGTATTCTGACTATTGTTGGTAATATATTATTCTGGTTACACCTTTCAACTAACAATGAGTGATTGGTCCTTATCGAAGTCATGATTGAATAGTTATATGCTACCCAGTAAGGTAGCCATGAACCACATGTAGCCACTGAGCCTTTGAAATGTGTCTATTCCAAATTAAGATGCACTATAAGCATAAAACATGCATGGATTTTTAAAGACTTGGTATGAAAAAGTGAATGTAAGATGTTTCATTAATACATTTATGTTGATTGTAGGTTTGTGCAATAACAGTGTGGACATATTGTTGAAATAAAGCATATTACAATTAATTTTTACTGTTTTTATTTTTATCATGACAACTAGATCATTTAAAATTTTATAAGTGACTTGTATTATATTTCTATTGAGCTACACTACTCTAAGCACTTTGAGTTCAGTGCTGAGAACTTTATTATAAGGTGATAAAATTTGGGGAAGCTATCCATGTGAATAGGGTCATATTTTTAAAATATGACCTAATATATCATTACTCAGCCTCTATTGGGTGTATTTTCAGCAATAAGAAACTTACTACTTTAAAACTACTGCTTAAAAATTTATCAGTTGATCTTATATTCACCTATTCATTTTGTAATAGTATCTCCTAAAGTCTTTTGGGAATCTACTTTTTAGATACCTGACGGCATCATGCTTTTCCTAGCATTTGGCTACTTGTTAATATATTTCTACATGTGAAGGGTTGACCACTCAGGTCTTTTGAGTTTTCTATGTAGAAACTGATTTGTTTAAAGAACTCCTGGAAATATTTATTCTGCTACCCCATTATGGTTAATTATATCACTCATTTTTTCCAAAAAATATATATACTTATGAGTGTTGACTATGTAGCTAGAATGACTCCAGGGTAGAATAAACTTCACATATCCATGGGTGTTCTTGAAACTCATTGCACTATGCAGTTGTTGCATCCCTTTTGTATATATCCAAATAATTCACAGTAAAAATAATTCCCAGGGAAAAACATGCACAGCCTTCGGCATCTTCCTTCTGATAATTTTCTATGTTATTGAAGACTAATTAGTTCACAGGATTTTTTTTCAGAATGATACATACAACTTTACCTAACTAGGATCTAAACATCTCCACATTCACCATCACAATTTCATAGTAGTGAAAAAGACCTTATTAAAATAAAATCTCATCATGTCAAAAATGTACTCTTCAAAAACCATGTTTTCCACAGATGAAAGTCTTGAACTGAGCCAATACATGGCTATGATTCTGAGGGGAAACAAAGAGCCTAGATTTATTCTTTATGTCAGATGGATGCATAGGGTTTGGGAAAAAACAGACTTTTATTACATACTAGACACTATTCTATCGTAGTTGATCCTTACAACCTTATAAGGTAGATATTCTTATTATCCCTAAAGTTACAAAAAAATCTGAGGCTCAAAGATCATAAATGATTTGTTTAAAGTCCCTCAGCTAGGAAATGGTGAAGCCCATATTCAATGCACACATTCTCACTCAGAAGCTTGTGTTTCACTAAAAGATGAAGGACATTTTAAGGACCTTGAGGGGTGATAATAGAAAATGACCACATGACCCACAAGAAAATCCTATATTCACTTAAATAAGACAGGAAGTTCCTTGGGGCAAGACTAGGAGAAGCCTTGACTATCGTGCTTCATTGTATTTGTTTAGAAATAGAATTTAGCCTTCATTCTATTTGTTTTCAGTAGATATTTATTTCAGCAGAAAAACTGCATAATGAAAGCCATTGTTTAGAGGATGTATTGACGTGGTTACTATGTACAAGGTGGACCTGGTGTGTCAAAAAGATTGTATACCTATCTGGAGGTTATCACCCATCACAATAGAAAGATGTTCAAGAATAATGTGACTTAGGTTTTAAGCTTGATGCCTGGGAAAAAAAAAGATTCCATTAAAAGAACTAGGGTAGTTGGTGTTGCAAATAATTTAGGGAAAGATAATTGGCTCAATTCTAGACACATTGAACTTCAAGTGAGAAATTGGTTTGTTATTAGAATTTCTAGATAGAAATTCCAAAGTGAGAGCACAAGTAAAAACAATTTTAAAGACATGTAAATTATAACTAAATTCACAGAAGAAAATATAGTTAGTTATGGAAGATGCATTGGGAAAGAGGTATAGAAATCTAAGTTTTGAAACTTTGAAACTACTCTGTTTGAATATGTGCAGAGAAGATGAGCTAGAGAAGAAACAGGTGGAGCAAAACATATAAATCTGACTGCAAATGGATCCACGTTATTTTGATACACAAATATTCAATAGAAGTTACGAATATCATAATATATTCATGAAATCATCTTGAATGATACAGTTTCTCTGATTAAATACCAGCAAATGTGAACAGTTCAATAATGTAAATTACCACCAAATTGGTATTATGTAATTATGATTCTAAAGGGTAGTAATCATTTTACATTTACAATCCTCTGAAACAGAATATGATTTGAAACTATAGAAGTATGCCAATAATAGAAAGATTGAAATATCCATTAAGTGCATTTATGTTACTTCAATTTGCACTGGTTCAAGTAATGATTATATTTCAAATGTCACATGATCATTAGGATTTAAAAACTAGTACTGTAATAAATCATATTTAAAAATCTCCCCCCAAATTTTTGTGAGCTATCTAGAAGTGGCTAGAAGTTATGTATTTACTCATGTTGCATGTGACAATCATTATGTCTTCATGAATATCATTTGATTATTCACTTCTTGATTAATAACAGACTACTTTTTAGACATTTGGTTTGTCCTTGAACACTTATTCTACTATCCCATGGGTTTTATCAAATAAATGTAGAGTCAACTGACAATGACTGGAATGTCATTGGGAAAGAATAGGTATGGACCAAACTTGATGAATGTGATTATCCTGTGCCTATGATACTGTTCTTTGTTCCTGAATTCTTGTAAAAAGTGAAATATCTCTGAAAGAAAATCAGATTTCTGTATGTCACCTATGAGTTTTTGAAAGCTCTCAAGTATAAACTATTTTCTAGTGTTATAATGGGGAGAAATTAAATACAACATAAAGATCAACAGAGTAACAAGTGTATTTTATTAATTGAACTTTGATGTTTAAATGCTGGTTACATTTTTGGAAATTTTAGTTTCCATATCTTCTAATTCATCACACCTTTTCAAGTGTTTCATTTAGAAAGTCAAGGGATTTTAAAGATTTCTGAGACTGGTCAATATCATTTTCAACATTAAGTAACTGTGATGTTTGTAAGGTTGGAAAATATATATTCAGATTATTTACATCAAATATTCAAAGTTCATTGGTGTGGATTTATTTATGCCATCTATGAAAACATTCCTGAGGCAAGCTAGGAGAACATGCCTGTCAATTTTGCCATACTAAAAATGTCATCTAAAATATCTGAGCATATTGCCTTGTAGTGTCTTTCAAAGACAAGTTGACAATTCTTCTTTTCTACTCAAGTTTACTGTTATTTGATGAATGAAGCAATTTTTGATAAGACACTTACTGAAATGGTATTTATATTAGAGTATTTTAAATAAGATTAAAGTTGATTTTAGAATATTAAAAATTAGTCCAGTCAAGTATATGCAAATTAACTTTTTTGATATCACAGAATGATGTATTGCATTATCTTACATGTATGTTCAGCTCTGGTGATGTTGTGTTTGTCTTTATTTGCATTCTCAGGTACTTTCTTAGTTGTATTTCAAAACCTTCATAAAATATAATATGGAAACATCACGCATGTCATTAGATTAGCAACAGGAGTTTGAATAAATGTATTTATTTTAGTTTATGTTTCTAATAAAAAAGTAATTTTGATTTAAATTAGCACTATCTTTTTTTTTAGGCCTCCATTCCTTTGAAGGAATTGGAGCAGTTTAACTCAGATATACAAAAATTGCTTGAACCACTGGAGGCTGAAATTCAGCAGGGGTGAATCTGAAAGAGGAAGACTTCAATAAAGATATGGTAAATTGGTTATGATAAAAGTGTGAATGAACTAGGAGTGAAAATGAATAAATATTTGGAAGGAAATTAAATAACTCAAGGCCCAACTGAATTCTCCAATACTTCTTGCACATTGTGTGATTCTAATGATTTTTATAAATGCAAAGTAGTCTTATTGACCTTTTATTACAAATACCAAATTACTATGGTATGGTCATAATTGGAGAACCCACAGATTCTTATAAATAGCTCAATTTTGTTTTAACCTGTGCTATTTTTGAACTTAGAGGGAAACAATGAAATACAAAAAGAGCCAATCAGAAAATACAGTAGAAATTCAATACAAAATTCAACTATCATAGGTAGCTGATGTTTTCTGTCAATCAGGTTTTTAGTCAAAAAAGGAAATTTCACACAATGTAAACACTGCTTACTAAAGTTTCCCAAAAAGTGGTTTTACCAAAAAGTTGAGTAAATAGTATAATATGTTTCTAATATATATATGGATTTATGCTATTTATTTCATGAAAACAAAGAAATATTGTTATGTGGACTATCTATAAATTATAAATTATAAATTCTCCTTCAATCTCAAATTCAAAATATCATTTAAATTTCTCTCTGGCTTGAATATTTCTTCATCACATCCCTTTCACAGGCTTTTTTTGCCTCCCTTCACCCTTTTGCCACAATTTTCCCTTCTTCCACTGCCATCACCTCTGTGGCATTATCAACCTTATATATGTGTCATGCTAGACATTTTCAGAGATGTATCAATATTAGATACAAACAATGCTTGCAAATGAAACGGCAGTATATATATATATATATATATATATATATATATATTTAAATATTAGACAAGTGAAGTAATATGAGAATTATATTCACCTACTACTCTTAGACACCACTAGTATCAGTTCTGACTTCCTGGAGCTGTCTCAGTCAATACTTCCTGTGTATGGGGGGTGGTGGCCTTGTCAATTCAGATCATGGAAAGAAAGACAAGAAGAGACTTTCCAAGATGCTGAGTTCCAGCTGCCCCTACTTCATGTCAAAGAATAAAGCCAAAAACAGCAAGGTGAAAAATTCCTGTGTACCTCTTAGGCTGACCAACAACCCTGCCCATGGGGCCTCACATGTTTATGTGGAAATATGTGAAGTGGGTTTACTTTATAAATGGGTTTTCTTTATGAGTGTTTCTAGTTCTTAGCCCTAGAAAATGCTAAATGGTTTTAAAAGGCAGATTAAAATAAGGCCTTTTGTACACTATAAATATGTCTATCATGTTGCACATTTCATTAGACTAATTGACAAATCTCAGAAAAAATCCCATTTTCTCAAAAGAAATTTCAGTTGTGTACTGAAATTTAACCATACATTATAAATATAAATATTTTACAACTAATACCATAAAGATAATACAATGTACCCTCACCCAGCATAATAATAATAACAATAATAATAAAAAATTTAACAAAAAAGATAATATATATGATTTTTGAAAACTTTCTTTTATCCATAGCTCATCACTATACCTTGGGTACCATTACATGGTGAGCGCCTCAAAAAATCTTTAATATTTGGAATTGAAGTACAGGAAACTAAAGATGGAAAAAAATCACATTGTCATATGTGCAAATATATCAGACCAGAACTTATATTTCTAAGTAAATAAAATTTAAAAACTATTTCTGGAGTGTAAAAGAATAAATTGGACATTGAGAAAAAAAGCTATTTTTCCAATCCATATTTGATCTTACTTTTTTAAATTAACAGATATGTGACATATTTTACAAGTTAACTATTTCTAATATTTGACATAAATTTTGATGTCATCATTTTGACAAACTTTGTGTCCTAAGTTTTGACATGTAGCTTTTAAACATAAAGCAAATATTGTTGGGTAAAAATAGTGCATATTTATAATATTTTCACTTAGTAACATGCTAATATTTTAAGAATATAACCATCTTACAGTCCTACATACTTCAGAAGTTTTAAATTTCTATAACTGTTCTAAAAACCCATGCCAAAAGAATATTTGTACTATAATTTCACAACTTGTCTGATAATAAGTTGCCTTACTCTCTCATCTTTCTGTATATTCTTCTAAAATGTGTTCTTTAGAACTAGATAGGAGGAAACTTTCTTCTTTCAAATCTAAAGTACGAAATAAATGGAAAAACTATGAGCACAGTAACTTATAATAACATTCCCTGAAAGTTGAAATTGGACTTTTGTGTGTGTTTAAATAACGTGTTTTATTATTTCTGTTAACATGTACAGCTTTTTAAAACCAAAATGAAGACTGTACTTGTTGTTTTTAATCAGAGTGAAGATAATGAGTGTACTGTTAAAGAATTGTTGCAAAGAGGAGACAACTTACAACAAAGAATCACAGATGAAAGAAAGCGAGAGGAAATAAAGATAAAACAGCAGCTGTTACAGACAAACATAATGCTCTCAAGGTATTAGAGCTAAAATTATAATATGCCTTGCCTGTGTTTTTCTATATGTAAGATAAAATACATTGTGCATAATAAAATCTGCTTTAAGAATCCTAGTCACCAGAAATTCAGTTCTTTTCTCTTCAATGTGTGCTTTATTTAGCGGTTTTGTGTTTTTTGGTTTTGAAAGATGTAACTTAAAATTTATGGGTTTTGGTTCAGACAGATTTTTCTGAATAATAGTGAAAGATATCAAAATGCTACATTTGCAGTACTTATGCATTTGGTTTTCTAATATATTTTATTTCTGTAAGATACATTTGTATTTGTGCTGAAAAGCTTGCTGACTGACAGAATCAATCTGTATTTTTTCCTCTTCTGCTGCTTTTACTACATTGATTTTATTTTTGGTAGGTCCAACATTTTCTAATCTAATGCTTGTTTAATAACGTCTGGATTTTCCACATTAAAAAAATAAACTTTATAATTCCTTTCAAGTGGAACACTCTTTGCAACTAACTAAGTATCAACATGAGTCTAATTTCATTTATATAAGAATCCTCAATAATATTTCTAATGTCCTTGAAGAACTGCTACTTTCATACTAAATAGGGGTAGCATATGACTTCAAGTACCCATGTGATTCATCTGGATTGCAGGAAGAACAGAATAAAATGTTCATTTTTCTATACTATCTAGGCAATTCTTGAGATGAGACTGGACATGTGAAAATTTTTGTAAAAAACTTTTTTCTGTAAATGCTTTGCAATGTTCAAAATTTGCATGCATGGCTGATTTTCTAATAATGTTAGTTGCTAAGATTTTCATTGTAAGGCTGTGTAGGTAGATCCACCTATTAGGTGGATGAAGTCTGCTTTTTAAATGCAAATATGAGGATAAAACCTTTTTCCTTATAGTCAACGACATAAACACTGCTGAGAATGTAATTACACAATATTGTGCCTGCAAGGAATCCACAAGGAAAGTCTAATTGGCCAGCAGGTGTTCTGAAGGTAACTGCTGATAAATATAGTAAATACAAAAGGCCTCTTCCTTGAGAGGAGTGCAAAAGCAGACAATAATGTGCTCAGAAAATCAGAAAGCTGTGTAATTTACACCCTTCTGACTGTGACCAAGCTTTCAGAAGCATCCCCACTACTCAAATGACAGGTGTTTGCTCAACAGCAGTGTTTAATAGTTATCTGGAACGTATCTAAGGATATTTGTATGTCTGGAGATATTTTCATGTATTACACATCAACTTGTTCAAAGGAAATTTCAGATTTATGATCAAAAACCCTTTCTCTTGGCAAAGATGCAAGTTGCATCATGAATAAGGTACAGCTCAACTCTTATTTATGTGCCTATATCTTGGTACCTTTGAAAAAAGCAGCATTCCATCTGATTCATCCCAGGCAGTTTTTAACTCCACAGGAGGTTTAGAAATCCCACAGAAAAATGTAGAGTGCAGTAAATTTTATATTCCCAATTTTAAACAAAATGGAGGGTGAAATCTAGATCATCCCTGAAAATGTATGCTGTAAATGATTAATATAAATCAACTGTACTTGCCAAACCCAAACTTGAATGTGAAAACCTAATTGCTAACTTTTTGAAGACATGAAAGCTGTATACAGAGTTCTTATGTTCCCATGAGTTATAAAGTGGCATTTCAGCTAATTCTATTGATCAGGGAAGACATTGAACATGCTTGTAGAAGCAAGATGATTGATTTTCCTCTTTTGTTGATTTATTAAATCAGTCGCCCTTATTTATCTCATCAGGTTGATTGAAAGTTGCATACTTTCTTTTTTCTTTAATAAAGAGTTAATCATTTTTGTATTTGGAACATATTAAGTATAAGAAAAGTTGGCTCTGTAGATCTTAAAAGAAAAAGAATTTTGCTAACGTTTAAATACTCATTTTCATGTACACTCAGGTACATGAACAAGCATCACACTTTTACACATATAGCTTGGAAAAGCTTATGAGGTAACTAAAGTGACTATATTTTGAATCACATAATACTAATGGTCTAACCAATACAGATATTTCTACAGCCTAGAATGTATGTTGCTTGTATTTAAACAAAATTTTTAATGAGCCAGGAGTGAACTTATAAATTTTAGAATTATCAATATTTTTTAAATTATACAAACTATGTTTTTTTAAATATCTAGTTAAATCAATTGTATTCATATATTCAACTGTATCACATAGATGACACAATGATCTAGTTAACTCATTAAGACTCAAATATTATAAGATTTCGAAATAAATTTGAACATGCCAAGAGAAAATATTTTGTTCTGTTCAGATTTCTTAGCACCTTAGCATAGACCTTTCAACATAAATGCATATTTTAATATTATTTATATGTTTGTTTTTAAATATGATTTAACATAAATTAAACGAAAAGATGAGGCTCTCAAATATTTTTATAAATAACTACAGCCAGAAGTATACTATACATATATATTGATATTTTAACAATATCTGCACCATGAACAGATTTGAGGTCTCAAAGAAGAAAAAAGGCTCTAGAAATTTCTCATCAGTGGTATCAGTACAAGAGGCAGGCTGATGATCTTCTGAAATGCTTGGATGACATTGAGAAAAAATTAGCCAGCCTACCTGAACCCAGAGATGAAAGGAAATAAAGGTATGTTGTTTTAGATGTCAATACTAGAATTTATTACTACAGTTTAACTGCTTTGACTTAACCTGTGAGGTCATATTTAAAATATTCATGTTTTTGTTTCCTCTATTAGTGTTTTGATTTGATGTATTTCTTCGTGTTGTGTTTTGTTTTAGTAAGCGTATTAAATGTTATTCAGTTGACATGTCAAATAAATAAGTTTTACTTTTAGAAAATGTAAAATGAATTAAGAAATTTCATATGTTTTCTGGTAAAATTGTAATGACTTTGTGTATCTTTGTTCCAGATGAACTAATGACTTATCGGTATATGGACGACTTCTTTCCCATGTTAGCACATTCATTTCATCACAGCATCTTCACACATCATTGTCAAATCTCTGTACATTTATTTGCTTATTGTCTGAAGATATTTTTCTGTTATCATTTTACTCTTTTTATTTTGCTTCATTCTCTGTTGAGTTCCTCAAAACTTTAAAAAGGAAATAAATAACTTGTGCCCTCTAAATTATATTCTACATTGATGAGCCCTAATAAATAATGAGCAATCAATCCAATATGGGTCAACCCCCAAAGCACCAGAAGAATTCACTAGAAAGAAAATATTAGATTAATTTAATATTTTCAATTAGAATATCTGAAACTGAGCATTGAAATGATAATAAAATAATATTTAGATTATTCAGTGAGGATGACAGTGACAACTTCCATATCTGTAAATTTTGAAAAAGAACAATAAAGGAACAACAGCCTATGAACTTTCTGAGAAAGTATTTCTGCCTGTAGGTTGGTTGATGTGGTTAGCTAACTGCCGGGCCCTGTTGGTTTTGCTCAATAGGAAATTGATCGAGAATTGCAGAAGAAGAAAGAGGAGCTGAATGCAGTGCGTAGGCAAGCTGAGGGCTTGTCTGAGGATGGGGCCGCAATGGCAGTGGAGCCAACTCAGATCCAGCTCAGCAAGCGCTGGCGGGAAATTGAGAGCAAATTTGCTCAGTTTCGAAGACTCAACTTTGCACAAATTGTGAGTTGTTAATGGCAAACCCACATAAGCAACTATCACTCTATTAACAGAGGCCTACTAACAACATGACAAAAATTGGGTGCAATTTCAAACTTCTAATGTGCATTCTAAAGTGAGTAGTTTCCCTCACTTTGGGCTTCTATAAAATTAGAGCTTTATTTTAAGATTAAGGAGACAATAAACTAAAAGCTAATAAGGAAAGTCCCCTAATCAAAAATGAAAATACATCTTAATTTTTTTGCTGCATCATTTTTCATAACATTGGCAATGTAAATTTGTCAATTTATCATACATTTACTTTACTTTAGTGTCAAATCCTGAAATATGTATTGCTTTCCTGAAATCATCCCATGCTGATTTTACTTTCTTACTGTAAAATGATAAATAATAAATATTTGTAAAAATCTTATGTCAACCTTCATAAGGCCTTATTTCATTGACTTAAAGAATAGTTTAATCTTCGTACTGAGCTTAACTACTATGGGTCACAGTGCTTGTTAGAAGAACTGGAAACCTAGGGGTAAAGATGTTGGTAATTAATAGCAGCTTGAACAATATCAAATAATCTCATTACTGAAATGATACAAACCAAAAAGAAAGACTATTATTCTTTAACACAACTGAATGAAAATTTATGATTCTCTTTTTTGAAAATACAATTCAAAATTCTGAGCTTGGGTCTTAATTTTTTCTTTGTAATTGGATATAAGCCACAGGTATTTTCTGATACATACATTTTTGTTCCTATTCTGAGTTCTCATAAGGTGAAGAGGATGCTGACCATCTATATTATCCAAGAAAGTACTCCTCAGAAACCAGGATGTGAAAGTCTGGAAGATGAAACACTTTATAATTTTTGGTTGAACCATAAGAATACATATTCAAGCATTTTTCCAATGTAAATGAAAAATTGTTTGTGCTTTGCCCATAAACTAGACTTCTTGGGAATTTCTATTGTGATATTGTTGATCCATTTCATACAGTGTGCAGTATATATGTATAAATACTTCTAAAATAATTAACCTATTTTATAAATACATGAGGTAGATACAGTGAATATTTTGTGAATTATTTTTTATAGTTTTAAGAAAATTCATGAATATACTGTTTTCTAATGAAATCCAATGCCTTTAAACTTTAGAAGTTTAATAGCAGCTAAATATTCTGAGTAATCAGAAGAATAAAAATATTGCAACTGTATTATATTTTAAGTCTATTTCTAGCCCATTGAACATTTCAGCATATTATCCTTCATATTAGATGTTATGAACATAACATGTCACAAAATCACTCAAGCTTATACTATCAGAAAGCCTACATCTTGAGAAGATGCAAAATTAT